CTAACAGCAACTGAGAAACACTTCACTTTTTGGTAAAATACACACAAAAATGGTAGGGAGGATGCATGCCACACATAGTTTTACTTAAGTACTTGGAGGAGTGATGATGTTACATTCCAAATTCTGAAAAAAATCTGAGTTCATCCAGTGAGGGGTCAACTAGATGGAGGTGTTATTATTGGGCCATGTGTTGATCTTTGTATATGCCCACTATAGGGTTACAGTCTCTACTCAGATGCTCCTAAGATTTGGTCTGGTTTTCCTTTGCACTGAGAGAAGAAAGAGAATTGTCTATAGCTTAACTTTAATTTTAAAACAAAACAGACTATAGCAGATATTGTTACCAGGACAACATAAAATGGTTGAAAAAAATCAATTTTATCAGCGTTTGCTTTAGGCAACTAATCACCCAGTGACATTTTGCCACATTCCAAAATAAAAGTGGTGGACAAGTTTAGAGGGGCTCAGGGTATCATCACCCAGTACTTCCGGGAGGAGTGCATGTACGGAATGTCCCAAGGCCTCCAGTTGTGCATTTTATATTACATTACATCTTCTGACTTTTAATGGTTCTCGGTGTGTGTGGCAATGGTGCCCTGCACCTCCAAATCTCTTGTGGTGAGGTTGGCTCAGTTGGTTCACTGGATTCACTGGCCTCAGATATGGATATGGTAGAAAGGATGTAGAAAACATTTTTCCTATCTGTGCCCAGGGATTCTGTGAACGCACTTGTCTTCTTGGAAGGAGGAACCCTGAAGATGTCATTCCTCAGGAATCCAGAATGCTGGGTGGCATTAGTTGCTTCACTGCTTCACAAGCTGTCGGCCAACTCCATTTATTCACTCCCTCTGCCTGCCTACTCTGGCCTCCATATAACTAGCTCCCTACGTCCAGTCATTTTGATTCTCCCTGTATTCAGCTTTGGGAGGGGAGAAATGAACAATACTATACTTCTCCCCAAATATCCTATTTTGCTCACTTAAGCTCATTCACAACTCATTCATGATCAGTTGCAGAAGTTCGTGTAATGGGATTTGGGTGAAAATCAAGTTATGCAAGAACCATTTGCTGTGTATTATTAATTTGTCATTTTTCATCAAAGGATTTTAAGATCTAGTACATTTTTTGAAAATTAAACTTTTAAATTGCAACAACCAGTTTGAAAATGCAAGTTTCAGAAGGTGGTGAATTTAAGACCAGTAATAAAAATTCATTTTATGTCTGCAACCCTGCTTGTGCATTTTCACACATGAGCAGATTTTTAAATCCTTAAAGAGCTCCTCATCCCAATTACTTTGTGATAAGCAATATCATGTAGTCATGAAGATCGTCTCGCTGTAGCTCCTCCAAGAACCACCCAGGAGAAAGTCAACAGCACAGAAAGCCAAGGAAGTATTAAATCACTATCACGCATGTCTTAGCAAGTGTCGATATCTTTACAGCTCACATTTTTGAAATATATTTTTCAGGAGACAAGAGGCAGCCCTACATGTTAACCAAGTTCCAGATTCTATCTTATAGTACATAGGGGGAGGAAATTTTCCCCCTTCCATAAGCTATTTTTAGTTCCAATGCTAGAGAAGTGCTTGAAAGAGTTTAATGAGGGTCATGAATATTCAGGCACCAAATGAGGCACACAGATGGCAGCCAGGAGTGCTACAGATGCCTTGGGTACAAGCCAGAGTTTCATTATCATCCTCAGTGTAACCAGAAATACAGCAGCCCTTCCTCTGCCTAGTAATACTCTCACCCATTCATATTTTTATCCACCCAGCCCCATCAACCTTTCTTTTACCTGCTAGCTAGTAAGTGATATTTGTTCTTTGGCTTTTTGGGTTGAAATATATGATTAGACATTATTAGAACATGTCACAGAATCAATGTACACGCTAGAATAGTTATTGTTAAGTAGAAGATAGAGCGTTGGATTTGGACTATGAAGTTCACTAGGTCACCTTAAAGACATAGGCATCACTTTAGACTTCAAGATTGCTGCCAGGATTCAGTAAGTATACATAAAGTAAGATGTAGCTAGCAGTCTTGAGCATACTTGGCCTTCACAGGTATGTTTGTCCCAAGAATCTTATTAAATGAGCCCTCCGGAAGGCAGATGGCAATACATTAAAGAGGGTCTAGGAGAAAGGATGTGTTGTGGCCTGCCAGCTGCTAGCAGAGCTGGTGGCAGACTCCGAGAGTGAGGAGGTTGGGGAGGAACTTGGGCAAGTGTTGGAGTCTGGGGAAGGCTCTGATGGTTGCTCTGTGTCGGAGGCAGAGATGGGGCCAGGGCATTTATCAGATGCCTTTGGAGTTGGAGATAAGTAGGGAAGAACAGCTGGAGCCTGTTCCAGACGCCCATATGCGCAGAGCTGTCAGGAGAAGGGAACAACTAAGGAACAGGGGTTGACTCGGAAGAAAAGGCACAAGTAGATGCTGAATGGCTCCTCCCATAGGGAATAAATAGAAGCAAAAGGGGAGTGGTGTTTGTAGGAGACAATTAGTTCGCTTATTATTGTGAAAATTTGCTTATCTGAGTTCGTGCCTCACAGAGACTCCTTTGCCAAGCATTTCATTTTACAGCATTGTGACTGGAAGCTCTCGGCCCACTAAATTATATTTTGCATTACTGAATTAACTTTTTATGTTTTAACATAACATTTTATGTTGAAAATGTCCAAAGCTACTTAAGGCCTTCTGGCATGGCAAAACCCCAGTAACAACCTTTTCATACCCACTCCTAGGAGCGTAGTGCTGGCTGGTGGTAATGTATCAGTTGATCTGACCACCAACCAGCACTTGTCAAGCAACCATTGCCTCCAAAACCTCTGACTGTGCTGGGGCCTTCCCCTTCCTTGAAACTCCAAATCCATTTACATTCTTTGAAGGGGGAAAAAAAAGCAGCTCCGTGGAATGTGCCTGTTTTCATTTCTTTCCTGAGTTGCTGCAATCTCAACTATGCCCATTATTGCTGAAATAATAAGCTTTTCAAGGTCATCCAAGTACTTCAACAAGAAAGGGAAGGGAGGTGAAACTAATATGCCTGAGGAGAGATATTCTTGCTATACAGATTTCTTTCCCTCCGAGTTCTAACTTTTCCAGAAGTTGTAGGAAGTGACACACAAGGAACAGGGGGTCTAAGTAGTGGTGGCTGTTTTCAGTACTGGGTCTGGCCTGCCCTGTTTAATTTCCAGGGCCAAGAGATTTCTTTCACCTGAACAACAGGAATCACTTAAAAAAAAAAAGGTGGGAGAAAAAAAAAAGGAACAAAAGGCACCTGGAGCAAGAAAATGTTTTCTACCTCATACTGTGGAAAGGGAAGTGAGTCAAGGCTGTTTTGTAAAAAATGGACATGCTTCTCTCTCTCTGCTCCTTGAAAAGAATGAAAACAATATTTTTACAGGGCCCAAGAACTCACCAAGTTTCATCGGGGTCTGTTTTGAAAACTTTGCCAGACAAGAACTCAGATGCAACAGTCAAGCTGAAGAATCCATATGTCACCAAGCTCAAGTAACACCCCACCCTTGGCCCAATATTTAATTATCCTACATACCTTTTCCCTTAAAGCAAAATCCTGGAAGCAGTTGTGGGTGAAAAATCAGGGGCAACACAATGGTTAGCACAACAGAGTTCCTTTCTCACACATCCTGGTTTCTAGTTTAACGGAAGGCTGCTTATGGGCTTCCGATTATACATTAGTTAGAAAGAAGTAGAATGATATCCATGTCCTGTGTGGCCTGGCCATAAAGAGGATGATTGACTCCCCTCTCTCTCTTTATGAAATTAAAGTTCTCTGCTTGTAGATAGACAGACTACAAGAGAACCTCTTGCCTCTCACAAAGGACTTTCCTATCAAATGGGAATGCAGCTTCCCTACTCATAATCACCTACCAACGTCAAGAATGATGCAGGTTCTTGTTCTAAAAAAGACATCATTTCATCTCAATTCTAGAAGATTATTCCCCAGAGAATTAAGACGCATGCGATTACAAACAAAAACTGTTTCCTGGTGGAAGTTCCATAAGAATTTCCAAGCCATTCAGAAGAATGACTGACTAAGCAGTGCCAAGGAATATCACAAAACACTGAGCATTGGAGTGAGGAAGGAAGTAGAGCAGTAGCCTGTAGCCATGACTTCCAGCAGTCAATGTGAGGAGCAACTGGGGGCTCTTCTTGCAAGACCACATCAATCCTGTATGAAGAGGCAGCAGACCGAGACTGAACAAATGGATGTGGGAATTTGGGTAGAGCTCTTTGCCATGTGGCTGCTATGCTGCCCTTTGGTATAGTGAAATACACCAACTCTGTTGAAGTAACAGATGATTGCCAATTTGTTGGCTGTTCTTTGTGAAACAATGGGAAGGATTGTCCCTTACGCTAGTCAGTAAAAGATCTGGGGCAGCTTCTGACTTATAAATCCAGAATAGAATATGGCTTTGTGGGAAAACATTGCTTATTGACCATGTTGTGATATTAGTTTCTCTTCTCTTTCCCAGATTACTTTGTGAACCTCATTACATTTTAGTTTCCTTTTTTTTTTTTTGAGGGCTTAGTGTTCCTATATTGTACTATTGCAGTGCAGAAACACCTATCTAAACCATGATCCAGGAACTTAATGCAATCTTCCCCAATCTAGTGCCTTTCAGATATGTTGGGTTTCAACTCCCATAAATCTCTAGTAATTCTCAGAGTTGGTCAAACACATCTGGAAGCCACCCAGTTGAAGGTTAACTTTAACTGATTATCAACCTCTTCCCACTCTTACTTTGTTATTTCATAAATGTACTATTATTTATACTTAAATTCAGAGTAGTGAAAGAAATGTGTTTCCTTTATCCACTATGCTTGGAAAAAGCTAGTGGCAAACCATAATGTTGCCAATATGGTGGTACCTATGAAGTTGCCAGGAGTTGAGTTGGTTTAATGTTGAAGTTGGTTCTTTGTTTTCTGTCACAGTAAAAAGAAACAGAATTATCTAAGAAAAAAAACCCTATTGCGATCATTTGGAAAGTCTTTAATGGGAGAATATATGTATTAGGAACTATGCGTGCAAATGTGTGTGGATTTACAGGCTCCATGAATCAAGAAATATAGGTAAGAGTTACATGTGATGCCCTTTTTTCTGAATGTATTCATTCATTCAATTCTTAAGAAAACCATGTGACAGAAAATGCATATGCAACTCTCAGTGTGGCCAAATGTCAGTGCAGGGGTGAGTCTGTATTTGTGTCTGTGTTCAACACAAACAAACATCTGGATGAAAGATCTGGCAGCAACTCCAACATCTGTTTCTTCCATAATTTGCCTGTCAGTGCACTGAAGCAGGGCAGCATTTGGAAGGCCCCCCATATAGCAGGCAGGGGGGTAGACCAGGAAAGGGTGAAGGGGGCCAGAGAAGTATTAAACCTTGTTTGGGTTCTGCCTTTTCTGCATCCTCCCCAGCTGTTGCTACCTCAGAGGAAAGTAGGGACCTCTGCGTTCTTCACATGCTTTTCCCTGCCCCCCCCCCCCCAAATCCCTGAGCCTGCCTCAGTCCATTTGTGTCAATGAATAACCTGGATTAGTTGTTGACTTTGTAGAGAATTTATGTAGCATCACAATATCCAGCAATGGAAGTGTACCAGAACACTGGTGTACCAATAGCATGAAGTCTGTTCTCTAAGGGATCGATGCCACATAGGAAAAATAGTGGGGAACCAGGGCAGGGAGCTGTTCCCTATATAGGGAATACAGAAATCTATATTTCATGGATTCAGATTATTCATCCTTGTGGTTTGTGAATATTTATACCCTTGGCAGCAGCAGCTCTAGATTTTCAGACAAGCGTTTTTCCAGCTTTACTTACAAAGATGAGGATGAAACTTCAGATGTTCTGCATGCAAAACACATGCCTTATCACTGAATTATGGCTGTTCCGGAAACTTGGAAAGTTACTAACTTTCCAAACGGAAGTTATATTTTCCATCCTACACAAAAAGGGGGTTTGGATGGGGGTTTGCTATAGGAGTTTGGATACAGGACAACAGTCTTCAGCTGAACCCTGGTTAAGGCGGAGTGGAGGGGTTTATCATCCTTAGTTCTGGGGTTGCACCAGGGGTGGGATTCAAATTTTTTAACAACTGGTTCTGTGGGCGTGGCTTAGTTGGTGGGCGTGGCTTGGGGATCATGTTATTGGCTGGGTGTGGCCAACTCAACATCACTCACATCAAGGCATGCATCTCCTCGCCTGGCCTCTCGTGACTGTGGGGATGCTGCAACAGTCGTAAGTGTAAAAAATGGTCATGTCACTTTTTTCTGTGCCATTGTAACTTTAAATGGTCACTCCACACAAGCAAAGTACCAGCAAAGGAGGGAAAAAAACCTCCAGAGAGGTTCCTGAGATGGGAAGTCTAGTCCTGCCAAGAATGTAATAAGGGTCAACGGAGAGGCAGTCTCTGTAAGCAACACCAGAATGTTTTCTTCCTGCCTTCCTTACAGGATTAGGCCAGTAATTTCTTCTAACAACCGGTTCTCCAAACTGCTTAGAATGTTAACAACCGGTTCTAGAGAATAGGTGTGAACTGGTAGAATCCCACCCCTGGGTTGCACTACCCCAGACAGATTTGGTGCACAATCTGGGGGGCTCCTAGACTTGCAATTCCTGCTTGAAGAGGAGGTGGCAGGCATGGTTAGGAGAGTCATTGTGCAAATTTGTGTTGTGCACCAGCTGTACCCTTTCCTGGGATCGTAAGGCCCTGTGTGTACTCACTCATGCCTGGTTGGATTACTGCCATGTGTTCGACATTGCCTTGAAGAATATTTGGAAGCTGCAACTAGTACATAAATCAGTGGCGTGGATAGTTCTGGAGGCACCTCAGGTGGCTCATGTGTGATACTGCTATTATATGAGCTTCACTGGCTGCCAGTTTGCTTCTGGGACCACTGCAAGGTGTTGGTCATTACTTTTAAAGCCCTTTGTGGCATGAATCCAGGGTACCTGAGGAACTGTGTCACTCAGTGGTGGCATTAATTTTTTTTTACTACCGGCTGTGTGGGTGTGGCTTGGTGGGCTTGGCAGGGGAAGGATACTGTAAAATCTCCATTCCCTCCACACTCCTGGGGGTAGGTTACTGCAAAATCCCTTTCCCTCCCCACCCCACTAACCTGCTTTCCAGCTCCATTCTCCTGTGCAGGGCAACAAAAGAAGACCCAGACAATCAGCTGGGACTCGGGAGGCAGAGGATAGATGGGGGCAGGGCCAGTCAGAGGTGGCTGGTTCTTCGAAATACTCAAAATTTCCACTACTGGTTCTCCAGAACTGGTCAGAACCTGCTGAATACCACTTCTGGTGTCACTCCAATGAGATTGCTCCGCTCCACTCCCTCCAGTGGAAAGGGCCTACTCTGATCTCATCAGCCAAAGAATTTCCGCTGGCAGGATCCAAGAAAAGAGCCTTTTCTGCCGTGGCCTCTGCCCTCAGGAGGTGAATCCATCTCCACATTCCTGGCCTTCTGAAGAATCGAAAAACTTGGTTCTGCCGCTTGGCCTCAGATCCCAACAGGGGCCTGCTGCAGTGGGGGTGGATGACCAGATAGAGAAGCCCCCAACACCAGGCATCCTTCATCTTGGGTTTTAGCTTTTCTATTCATTTTTTCTAATTTTAATTATTTTCTTTCTTTTTTCCTTTTATTATATTGTAAGCCACCCCCAGTCACTTTATCTGTGAAATGGATTGCATAGGAATGTAATAGATGGATGACAGACAGACAGACAAATAGACAGAGCCTCCCTTTAAGTTCATAAGACATTTTTCTGAAGTCTTTTTTTAATCTCTTTGTAGGTACCTGGCAGAATTATAGGTACAGAAGTAGCAGGGTGGTGTGACGTGGGTTAGAGTGAGGTTATATCATTGAATTCAAAGAAACGTTAGGAAGTTGTAGCAGAGCAGAAAAAAATAATTTCAGGACAATTCTACATTGCTACTGGCTGCGCATCAAAAATCCCTTGAAACAGTTTTACACACTTCCCTGTTTTCATTGCACAGAGCTCTCCATGTGTCAGCCTGTGCTCCCTCTAGCAGGCCAATGGAAAGGTGCAGCGAAAGCTGACAGCAGCCAGCAATTCACGCTACTGCATCCATTTATGCTGTGAGGATAAAGGGAGGGAAAAGGGGCTCAATGCATGGGGAGGAAAAGATTCTTGGGAAAACAGCAGCAAGGATCCGTGGTGCCTTGACTACTGCAGGCAGGCAGGCAGGCAGGCAGGCAGGGAGGGAGGGAGGGTATTTCCAGAATCAGGAGTGGGATAAACAAAAGTTCCCATCCATGGGACAATTGTCTGCCTCAGCTCCAAAGGAAACGATATTATATTCTCAGCATTTCCTTTGGAGAAACAATTCAGCCTGGGTCCAGCCCCAATCCCAGATACTATTATCTTAATATGTGGAAAGGTCTCAGTTACTAATATTATAATCTGGGATCTTCAGCCTTCTGCTCCCAGTTCTTTTGTTTGACTCTCTAGTTCTATGGGAGTTCTATGCACCTTGCTTCTATCTGTTCTCGTCCTTGTTCATCTGAACACACTTTGATCATTCTCGGAACTGTTTAGAAACATTAATGAGCAACTATAATAGCTTTATAGTCCTAGAGCCAGGTCCATCTCTCTTCTCTTATTCTCCAAGCTCATATTGATGCAAACAGCTGACCAGTCACTGGAAGTAACTGTACATTTCTCCTCCCTTCTCTGAGTCTGGAAAATGAATAATGGAAATTCTCTGACTGCACTCCCAAATTACAGTGATCAGGAAGGGTGACTGACAGCATTGCCATGTGACTTGTCAATTCATTTGTTGGCAGCAGCTCATTGCATTTTTTTTAAAGACATGGTTCCTTATATATAGCTTCAGCAAAACAATTGATGATAAAATACCACTTCATAATCTAACCACAGAGCTCCAAGTAAGTATTTTACTTGAACTGAGATTATAAAAATGCAGAACCCGTGTTCACGCAATGTGCTTAAATGATCTGCTAAATAATTAGCAGTTGCATTCGAACAATGTACTAATCTTGATAAGATTTAGCCTTAGTTGATTTTTTTAAATTTTGCTGTGTGAATCAAGTGGAAAAATTCATTATCCATGTTGTGTAAACACCCCCAGTTTTAGTTTTTTGTTGCCATTTGCCATGTAAAATTGTTTTAAAAGCAAGAAAAAAAAGCACAAAATATTTTAGGAGGAAGACAAGGCCCAAGCCATCTTTTTAAAATGCATATTTTAAAATTTTATTATACTGAATTATTCTGCTTTGTTAATCATACATTTAAACTTTCAGGCTAGATTATTTATTAGTGGTATCCCAAGATCATGAACACTAAGAACTTACACATTGAATGCTAAAGTAACAAGATCTCTTATAGTGATTATTGAACCTATTAACTCAGGAAGAATCTCTGCACATGTAGTTCTCATCATGAAATAGAATAGAATGGAATGGAATGGAATGGAATGGAACAGAACTCTTTATTGGCCAAGTGTGATTGGACACACAAGGAATTTGTCTTTGGTGCATGTGCTCTCAGTGTACATAAAGGAAAAAAAATACATTGATCAAGAATCATAAGATACAACACTTAGTGATAGTCATAGGCTACTAATAAGCAATCAAATCATACTAGGAAACAAATAAAACAATATAAATTGTAAAGATATAAGCAACACAGGTTATAGTCATAAGTGGGAAGAGATAGGTAAATATGTGGCCTGTCAGAAATCAAATATCTAATATTACGGGAATATTGCATACATGAAACAGCATTCATAATAAATTTCCTTTATCACCAGAAAGTAAACCTCTATGGTACTAACTTAAGTATCAATGAAACATTATATTTGTTCTTAAAGAGATCAACGCAGAAAAACTCCCATAATCAAACCAGAAATTTGCTGGATCTGTATCATTAGATCTAAGCTGAATAACTTTCTCAGATCCACAGATCTGAACCCAGTAAAGATCAAAAACTCCATCTCAACGAGGTAACTGAATGGAAGGAACAAAACACAGAGTCATATAAAAATAAATTGCAAAGCACAAACGTTGTAATTTTAGATTAATTGCAAGTCTGAGAGGAAGAAGGTCCTCTTCATGCATTTCCCCCAAACTTGTTAGATCTAATGTTAATTGTAACATACAGAAGTATGTCTCAATAGCAAAACTATTGATGAAACAACAACATGGCTAGCATTATAGAAGCTTTTCGTAAACAATAATCATTCACATATTAATGCAGCTTTGAATGTAGCTGATCCTTGAGCAGAACCCAGGAAAGAATTGGTACTGTATGCGTGCAGTTATATAAAGAGCAGCTCTGACAGAATTCGTTTAAGAAGGGGGAGGGAACTGCTCAGTGACTCAGTCACTCTTACCTAGACAAGAAATAATTAAAGTAAATTAGCAGTAGCACAGAAATACAGATTGTTCTGCTCTCCAGTGAACAGTGTGCCAGTCAGGTCCCTGAGAACTGTGGGCCTGCTAGAGCTCTTATGCTGGCTACTGTCCCTTTGCATTAGAAATCCCATCAAGCAAGTAAGGCACCGATCAGAGAAGGAAACCCCCCTGTGCCTTGCAAGCAGACCAAGTAAAGGCCATGGCAGGTTCTCATTAACTTTAGCGTCACAGCCTAATAAGCTCTGTGTGTGTGTGTGTGTGTCAGAAAGGCAGCCAGGCTCAAGCCAGGGCATTGTGCGACCGCTGATACATCATTCCAAGAAGAGGGGGAGCAGAAGTCTGCCTGGAAAAAGATGTCCCTCTCTTTATCAGTTAGGATAAGTCCTGCCTTCACCTAACTGGAATGTAGAAAGGCGGAGAACATCAATCTAAATACCAACATCAGTTGAAATATGGCCTCTAATTCATACTTAGCTCTCCCTGAAGTAATAATAGTCTGCATAAACCTCCAGGGTGGAGATTTAATTTGAACTCAATGCAATCAAATCTTTCAATCGAATTGACACTCTGATATGAATTAGGAAGTCAGTCTGAATCATCAGATTGGGCAGTTCCAAATAGATGGAGCACACACATGCTATAATATGAAAAATATAATAGACCTGCTTTGACACTTCATATGGAATAAATTGTTAGAACCAATTTGTACTTTGCAGAACTAGATCAAGTGGCTCAAATCGATGGTTCAAATCAGATCAGAGATGAACTGTGCGTGGCCTACTTAGCTTTGTGGAACAATCATCTAGAAAGTCTTCACAAGGCAACTTTAGCTTCTAGCCATTTGGAATGAAACCTGGAATGAGACTGCTAACATCTTCCATGGAATAACTGCTGATGCTCACAGCCCTTGGCATAACTGCTTCCACAGTCCCTATCCAGACTATGCCAAATTGACTTTGTGGTTACACCTTTGTGGGTTATACCTAGATATTCCTGACAAATTGACTTTGTGGTTGTAAAATCTGCATACATAACTGAATCAATCATATACCAGCTTTCTCCAGTCTGTATTACTTGAAATACACTAGGTCTCGGTTGTGTGGGTGGGAAACAATTTTCCTAAAAGATACAATGCACTGAATCCCAGCAACAACTGTGTTTAGAGACATTCAAACTTATACAAAGGTCAGTATTGATTTATGTTTCGTTCATTTCTATGGATTGGTTCTAAAACTGAAGAATTAATTGAGACAGTTTTCATAGCTCCAGAATTATCCAATGTAACA